GTGTAAGCTCAGGTTCCCCAGAAATGTCCCTCACCAAGTAACCAGGAAGCCCTGATCGTGTGGAGCCTCCCACAGTGGCTGCCCAGTGATCCAACCACACCTTGAGTCCTCCCACGAAGCCTCAGTGTTTTCACAGTCCTGTCACATAAGCCTCCCACAGTCCTGAGCATCAAACCCCTTATCTGTTTTCCCCACCAGACTCAGGAGTCTCTGCTTGGCTCATTGATGGGCATAGAGAGGAGCTTGCACAGCTGTTACATATGTCCAAAATGACGCCTGCTCTCTGTCAGCTTGCTACAGGACACCTTTGCAGGATGATCAGAGAGAGGGAAAACGTGCCCCTCCCCTTGCTTTTTCTCCTCTAATTTGTCAAGTACACTATCCCCCATGGGGCTCCAAGCTGGATTCCCTCTAGGTTCTTCCTTCAGCTTTTTTGCCAGTGGCTTGGGCTGCTGCAGTCTGGCTCACCTCACTCTTCAATGCTGGTGCAGAGGCTCTCGGCTGCTGAGGTCCTGAGTTGTGCATGTCCTTGCCCTCCACATAGGTCCACTGTGTCTCTCCAATTTGTGTAGAGTTTCCTCTGCTGTTTTCTCCCTAACTCTTCCCTGAGACTGCACCCTCTCCACTTTTTTCAACTATCTTTTCCTAGACTACAGCAGTAAGCTCCCTCCCTACTCCACCATCTTCTATATCCATTATTCTTGAAAACAAAACAAAACAAAACAACAACAAAAAAAAACAAAACAAAAACCATTTCTAAGCAAAAGAGTGAAAAAAGCCTAAGGAAAATGAGGAAACCATTCGCTAAGGAGTCACCCAAGGAGCTGGAGCAAAAGGCTTTCTCCATAGGTGCGTGGTTTAAAGCCCTTAACAGTAAAACTCCTAGACAGAAAAGTGTGCAGTTTATAGTTGTGTTTTATGCAGCATTAACCCCAGCAGTTCCTCCAGGTCTTAAAAGGCTTCAAGCTCTTTTACAACTTCAAAACTGGAAGATAGCAACACAGTTGGTTGATGGTGGCTAAGAAAACTGTCAGAGCTGGAGTGACAAGGGATAGTTTGTTCTATGCAAGAAGAGGAAGTTTCTGTCCTGGGCTAAGAGCCACGTCCTCAGACACCATGGTGATAAATGGACAGCTTGCCAGGATGTGCTTGCCTCTTTGCCTCACATTTTCAAGCAGTTCAGTAATTAGCTCCAAATTAGGAAATTAACTGGCAAGCAAAGACATTGTGCAGGAAAACCCTTCAAATCATTGAGAGAAAATGTTAGCATTAGGACAACTTTCCGTAAGAGGAGGATTAGAATTGACTTGTGCGTGGAAAAATACTGGAGGCTCTTGTCTTGTTTGCAGGTGTAGGGACCTCTCCAGTTAGAGCCTTTGTGCTTGTTTTGTCAGGGTCTTTAATTATCTCTGAAGTCAACCCACTGCTGCCCTGTACGACAGGAAGTAGATGCATAGCCTTGTGGTGACATCTTAGAGGCCCAAGAATAGAGAGAACACACTTCAGTGAATGGGACAAAATGCCATTGACATACATCTTGCTCAGATGTGGAAGAATAGTCCCCCTCTTTCACTTTCCTGTTTTGTTTTAGGACACCTCTTCTGTGGTGTTATCAACATATCTCACATTATGTCATGTATGTCAATTCCAAAAATAATTACAAATGCTGCAAGGCAGATACCTACTATAAATTTACTCTCCTTTGGTGCCTAACTGAATATATTGTATATAGTTGGTGTTTAATAAGTGCTCACTGGGGGATGGGTATTGTGGCACATTGGGTTAAACCACTGCTTTGATGCCTGCTTCCCATATCGGAGTACCTGGGATTGAGACCCTGACTCCACTTCCTATCCATTTTTCTGCTAACGCAACTGGGAGGCAGCAGAGGATGACATGGGTACTTGGGTTCCTGCCACCTGTGGAGGAGACCCAGTTGGAGTTCCTGGCTCCTGGTTTCAGCCTGGCCCAGATCCAGTTATTGTGGCATTTGGAGAGAGAGCCAGTGGATGGAAGGAAGATCTCTATCTCACCATTTGTCACTCTGCCTTTCAAATAAACAAATAAATAAAACTTAAAAAAAGAAGACTTGCAAAAGAGTAAAATGACAATGCAGAAAATGAAAGAAGATACTTTTTAAAATAAAGAAATACATGCCAACTAGATACATTGCAGTGATCAGTGTAGCTCATGCCATATCTAACAGTATCCCATTTATAGGATAAAAGACAGCCCATCTTGGGCCTTCTCAAACCATTTAAGTGAGTGATCATCCCCCTAAATATCACTGGTTTCACTGGCATTTGTGACAAAGATACAGGCTTTTTATTTATCTCTGAAAATTGTCGTCTGAAGAGTGTTGGAATTTCTTCATAGAAAGTCATTTAGCAAGTGTATGTTACTCAAGCCTCAGGCCATAAGGCATCACACACCTAAAATGGTGACTTTGTTTTTCCTAATTCATTTTATTTGTTGTTGAAGTCATCTACTGGGTTATATTGTTTTTAATATGGTTTTGCAAGAAGTGTTTACTCTATCTTGAACTAGTGGCTTAACAGAACCTACACAGTTGCACAGCTTTTACAAAAGAATGCTCTTACAATCATCTAGGGCTAAGCTTCTTCCTCCATGTGAATTTGTATTAATTGATCTTGACAGCTTTAGCTGACTTGAGTTTTGAGGAATTCCGAATTAATCTGCTAGGTCTTATCTACAGACACTTTGGGGACCTCTTGTTAAACAGTAGAAGTTCTAAATCCTTGCGTGAAAAGGGAAACCTGTTAGGAAGAGGAGAAGGACATAGTCCCAGGGCCTGCTTTATGGTAGAGCAAGGAAAAGAACTGGAGTAAAAGGAGGTCCCAGCGACGGTGAGCGGCTGTGGTGTCTTAGCTGCTGAGGGAGACTAAGCTGTTTACCACTCGATTTTGATACAAAGAGACACTGCCGGAAAGCATCCTTTGGGAATCTGTGTGGGAGTCACAGGAGACAAATCTGCATTCGTGGAAGTGGCAGCCTTGAGGGCAATGTTTGTCACACCGACGGGCAGGGCTTGTGCTTTGCGAGAGGTGAAATGGTTTTCAACCAACTGTATTTAGTCCTTAGAAAATTATGGGTCATTTGCTTTGCAGACGTGTCAAAACTTCCGAAAGATTCCTCACAAGGTGGGCTACCTACTAATCAAGGCCATCCAGCTTATGCCAAAGAATAAAAAAGAATTCAGAAGGGGCACTCAGAACTCTGTGTCAGTGCAGTGGTGACTGCTATGTGTCAGGAGTGGTGGCGCATGCTGTCGGTCTCCTCTGAGCTGTGGCGGGCCTCCCTGGAAGGTCCACTGGTGAAGGGTGGCTGGACACAGGACCCAGGAGCTTCCGCTCAGCGCATCAGCTACAATGCCTGGGTCAAGACACAAGGTGGCCTCTTCTCCACCTCCTCCCTTTGTCCTTTCCCTAGGGCTGACTCAGTGGCCCTGCCCCTGTCTGCCTCCCTCCTCCACCCTGCACCCTGCACCACCCGCTGGGAGGTGGGTGAGGAGTACCTGTGCCGGAGTCTGTTAATGAAGGGTATCTTTTTTTTTTTGACAGGCACAGTGGACAGAGAGAGAGAGAGAGAGAGAGAGAGAGAAAGGTCTTCCTTTTGCCGTTGGTTCACCCCCCAATGGCCGCTGTGGCCAGCTCAGTGCCGCGCTGATCCGAAGGCAGGAGCCAGGTGCTTCTCCTGGTCTCCCATGCAGGTGCAGGGCCCAAGCACTTGGGCCATCCTCCACTGCACTCCCGGGCCACAGCAGAGAGCTGGCCTGGAAGAGGGGCAACCGGGACAGAATCCGGCGCCCCGACTGGGACTAGAACCAGAGGTGCAGGCACTGCAGGCGGAGGATTAGCCTAGTGAGCCACAGTGCCGGCCAATGCAGGGTGTCTTAAGCATGAGCACCCTTAAAAATTTTATTCAAGAATAAAAGGATGGCAAATAGGTCCCAGCTGCCTGACTTCAGGCACTTCCTCGCCTTCCCCGAACATCGGTTTACTTCCTCAGAGCCCTGGCTGGTAGTGAAATCAGGTCCTCCGTGATGCCTGAAAGCGGCATTTACAAGATGCTGAGCCTGCACGAGGAAGTGTTCAGTCCGAGTCCCCTGGTTTGCTGCCCCCCGTGCAGCCTTGTGGTTCCCTTCACAGCTCAGCATACCCCCTAACGCCTCTCCTCCCAGGCAGGCCGTCTTGCAGAGTGGAAAACCCAACTAAGGATTTACGAGGAGCCTGCTGTATGCCAGGCTCTGGGAATACACAGTGAATAGGGCACCACTTGGACCAAAACATTCCTTTGCTTACAAACGCATGGAGTTCCTGTTTCTGCTGCCCGCCCGGCTCCACCTCCCCTCAGCCTGCCAGTCGTGCCAGCCTCCAGAGCACCATGCCTGGGCCCTGGGTGCCTCCCCCGCCCCCGCGGGGAGCCTGCTCAGGCCCAGCTCGCCCTGGGTTTCTGGGTCCCTACAGGGAGAGGGGCAGGGGAGCCCCCTGCGACTGGCTGCGGGTGACCGCTGGCCCATCCGCGCCGCGTGGCCCTTCACTGAGGGATCCGTGCGGCCTCCCGCGGAGCACGGAGTCCCGGGGAAGGGAAGGTTCAGAGTCACCTTTCCTCTTGGCCCGGGTACAGGCCTACTCTCACCTGCAGGGAAAGATGGAGGCACTCAACGGGACTTAAAAATACCTCTTTAAGGGTGCGGTTGAGAACCTCGCATCTCATCTCCGGGTACCTGAGTTCCAGCCCCGGCTCTGGCCCCTGATTCTACCTTCCTGCTCACTGGGAGACAGCAGATGAGGCTCAAGTGCTTAGGTCCCTGCCACCCACGTGGGATAGCCGGCTGGAGCCCAGCTGCCTCCTAAGGCCCAGCTGCGGGCGTTTGGAGCGCGCCCTCCCCCGCTCCGCTTCTTAAATCAGTAATAAAACTTCTGAAAGAATAACTCCGCCGTCCCCTTCACTCATTCCCATAAACACACACGCCCTGGAGGAGGGCAGCCTCTCCCCGTCGCGGGGTCTGGAGCCGGAACGTGGAGAAACACGGGGGCCCCCGCGGGAGAGGGAGCGAGCGGAGAAGGGAGGGCCGGGGCCGCGGCGGGAGGAGTCGGAGCCGCCGCCGCCCCCTCCCCGCCCCGCGCCGCGCGGCCCCGGCCCTCCCCCTGCCGGTCCTCCCGCAGTGGACGGCGGCGGCCGCAGCCGGAGCCCGCAGCGCTCGCCCGTGAGTGACCAGCCCGCGGGGCAGAGGCGGGGACGCTTGGGATACCTCTCCCCAGGGTGGGTGCCCCCCCCCAACTATCCGCCGGGAAAGTTTGCGGGTGGGGGCGCGGGTCCCGGGACTCTGGGCACCGTGTGCTGCGCCCCATCTCCCCGCGAACCGCCCTGGACGCGCCCCGGGGCCTCGAGGGGGTGCGCCCTGACGAGGCTTGCTGCTCCTCGCCTGGGCCCTGGGGCCGCTGCTGTGGCCTGGGTCCGACTCGAGAGTGGAGGAAAAACAAGAGAGAAGAATCTAGGCGCGGGTCGGTGGCTGGGGGTGAGGGGGTGGGGGAGGGGGGTGCTCGTCCAGACCCGTGCGCGGTCCCGGCTCTCGGCTGCCACACTCAGTCCTTAGTCCTCCCCTGGAGGGCCCTGGGTCGCCCATCCCCGGCACCCTGGTTTTTGTCCTGGCTCGCGTTGTTCGCTCTGCCGCGTGCCCCCACTTCCCTGAGAGGTGGGTGTCCCCCAGGCTCAGACCCCAGCTCTTAGCTGCTGCCTGGCGCCCTCGCTTCCCCGAGGGGCCACAGCTGCCACACGCACCCAGGTCTTTTCTGCAGGAATTCTGTTCCCTGGCATATGGTGTCCAGTCCACAGGCTAAACCCTGTGGGTGCAGGGACAAGTGGAAACATACTTCTGTTTGATTGCTTTTTTGTTGGTTTGGATTTATTTTTTTTTAAACCTCTCCAACTGTGCTTGTAGTAGTATTGACACATCATGTAGTTAGCCTTTGTAATTCTGAAAGAAAGAAAGAGGAAACAGAATGATAGAGAAGGCATGCTTACTAAAAATGCTGTGCAGAACCTGATCTTTGGAAAGACTGGACTCAGGCCACGCTGAAGCCGCCGCGGCAGCTCACTGTAGCGTGTTTTCCAACTACCCTAAACAGGCCAGCTCAGCCTGCTCCAGGCTACAAGTTCCAATTTGCCTGACTTGTGCCACAGCCCTTGTTGGCATTCCCTGCCTGCTCACACCCCTCCTCTCGCCTCCCCTCTCCAACCCTCCACCTCCCTCCCCACTCCCCCACTCCCCCACTCCCACTTTGTCTCTCATAAGCAGGAGTTGTGCAAACAAGGCAATGGAAGAGGGACCACGAAGACAAAACAGCCTGGCTTATTTTAACCCTGGGGCTGCGGCTGCAGCTGGACTCTGATTGGGTGGAGGAGCTGTTTGGTTCACTTGTGTGGTTTTTGTGTGGGCTCTGGTTAGGGTGGAATCAGTGTTTCCATGACAGGCTTGGTTCTGAGGCTGCTCAGAGCAGCCTGTTCACTCTTGGATGGGTCGGGACGGATCAAGTGTGGAGTCTGGAGGGTTCTGTTTCGGGATCCATCTGGGCTGATTTTGCAAACCTCGGCTTGCTCAGACGGGAGCAGCCTTAGGCAGGATTGCTTCCTGATCGTGGAAGAAAACCCTTCCCGGAGGAGTGAGCTGTGCCCACAGAGTTGCCTGGTGTTGAGCTGTCGTTTTTAAGAACAGGCGTCTCAAGAACGGGTTGTAACAGATGTATTAGATCAGATTCTGAAACAGTCTCTTCAAATAAGGTATTCGGGACCATTTGAAATAGTCATGAGAAAAGTAATTTCAGTGCAAAGAAAGGAGTTTATTTTGAAAAGGATGTGATTCTCTTCTGTCCACGGATTAAGTTCCCACCCCATCCGCCCCCCCCCCCCCCCCGAAGGTTTAAGGTGGTCTCAGAACATCAGTGATAAGGAAGTGTTGTGCCTTCCGCTGCTCAAGTTTGTTTGGCCCTGCTGCTTAGAAAAACAATGTATTCAGATCAAAATCTTCAGTCTCTTCCCCTTCCTGGGAGTTTTTAAATAGTCCAGCCTTACACTGTTGGGACAGAGACGCCTTTTTGCCTGGGCTGGCCTTTGCACCACCAGCCCTTGAACTGAGTGGTTTGCTTCAGTCACAGAGGTGCGCTGGGAGCCCCATGGTCACCTCCCCACCCCCATAGTGAGGGCCACAGAGGGTCCCTGACCTCAGGAGCGAGTGGTGCTGATGGGAGATGGAGCCTGCGTCCCCAGTTGTCACCTGGATGGGGCAGAAACAAGTGAAGTGTGGGACCTGCTGGGGGAAGGAGGGTGGGAGTCATTAAGAAGTAAAATAACTTCTGTGGCCCTTAAAATATCATATTGTACAAGAATGTGGAATTACATAGGACACAGGGTATGGAGTTGAATTTAAAAAGCAGGTTATAAAATAGCATCATTTCACTCCTGGAAAATACATTAAAATATCTGAATTATGTGCATCGAAATGGATGGTACAATTGTACCATTTTTTAAAAATGTTCTTTGTGCTTGCCTGTTCAACTTTTTTACAGTAATAATATCCAACATTTATTAAGACGTAAGCACTTATGGGTGGTGTTTTATTGAAAAACCTCTTTGAGGTAAGAACTGTTATTATTTTCATTATGGAGATTCAAAAACTAGGATCAAAGGGGCAGCAAGCCCAAGGTTGCGTAGCTCCTGAGTACTGGAATCAGGTCTTGAATTCAGGTGGGTGTAGGTGCCGTCTGTACATCTCCACCGCCACTGTCCACTGTGTGCAGATTGCTGTTATAAGTCTATAGAAAAGGGGATGGGAAGTATTTCATGCTTTGGTAAGAACTGGTATTTTCATTACTTGTCAAATGCCGTGCCTGCTGTCTTCTCGTCTCCCACTGGCACTTCTGTTTGGGAGTCCTTGAGAGTTGGTCAGAGGCTGCTAACCTTCTCCTGGTGAGAAGTATCCAGGATTTGCAGACAGCCTGTAGATCTAAGAACCCCATGGTTTGGGAGCAATCCCAGTACGGGCAAGGTTTTAAAAGTGGATCAGCAGATTATCTTCAGAGCTGTGCTAGCGTGGGCTGTCTTTGTTCTTCATGCTGTCAGGTGAGCGTGACAGGTGGGAAGACCTGGGGAAAACTCGTGTCCAGCTTCCCACTCACCTGCATGATACGTGGACTGTCAGGGCAGGTCAAGGGGCTACTGTGGAGTGAAAAGACAAGAAGAGAAGCTCATTGTGAAAGCACTGAATAATAAACTGTTTCTGGGAGCCTGGCTGTGTAGGTGATTCTGTGCATCTGTAGGATTGACTGGTCAGTGGAGGTGGAAACATCCGTCTGCGTGCTCTTGGGGCCAGTGCAGCATCCTGTACTGCTGTGTGCTCTCACGGGCCGCCAGCCCCCGAGGTCATCTTACCCTGCCCTCTCCTGGGGAAACTTGGATTTGCTAGCCATTATGATTACTTTTATATCTTTTGGGAATTTCTTGGCCTTCCTGGAGTTTACTAGTTCATATTATTGTTATTTTGTCTAATTGTACACATACACACACACACACACACACATACAAAGTCCTGTTTATTGAGATTGTGATATTGGGTCTTCTCACCCTGTTTTTATTCAGAGGAGTGATAACTGGTTATTTCCCCTATGAATATCTTATATACTGTTGCTGAATTTAATTCCTATAGATATTGTTGCTAATTTAACTGATATCCTTTTTCTTATTTTATTTATAGGACCATGCCTGATATTTGAATTTTACCCCAGGATCCTAGCTGGCTTTTCTTATTAGTTCTAATAGTCTGCATGTAGATATTCTTGAATTTTCTGTGTAGACAATCACAAAATTACAATCCTTCATCAGAAATTGTCCACTCCTGTGACTCCTACATCTTTTTCTTGTTGCAATGGGTCGGCCCTCCACAATGTTTGATGGTTATAGTGATGGAGGGCGCCCTGGGCTTCTTACTGCCTTTAGTAAGTGCTCTTAAAGTTCCTCTGCTAAGTCTGCACTCTGCTTACAGTTTCAGTAGATGCTGTTTAGAGATTTTAGTAATAATTTATAATTATTGATTATAAATTAAGGAATTTTCCTCTATTATTAATTTTTTTAAGATTTATTTATTCATTTGAGAGGCAGAGTCATGACAAAGGGAGGGAGAGACAGAGATGTCTTCCATCTGCTGGTTCACTCGCCAAATGGCTGCAACAGCTGGAGCTGGGCTGATCTGAAGCCAGGAGCCAGGAGCTTCTTCTGGTCTCCCACGTGGTTGCAAGGGCCTATGGATTTGGGCCATCTTCTACTGCTTTCCCAGGCCATAGCAGAGAGCTGGATCGGAAGAGAAATAGCTGGGACTAGAACCAGCGCCCATATGGGATGCGGGCGCCTTGCAGGCAGAGGATTAACATACTGCACCACAGCACCGGCCCTGCTTCTTCACTTTCAATCCAGCTTTCTGCTAATGTGCCCAGGAAGGCAGTGGAGGATGGCCCAAGTCCTTGAGCCCCTGCCCCCAGTTTGGGAGACCAAGATGGAGTTCTTGGTTCCTGGCTTGAGCATGCCCCCCCACCCCCCTACCCCCCCGCTGTTGTGGCCATTTGGGGACTGAACCAGTGGTGGAAGATCTTGAGATCTGTGTGTGTGTGTGGCAGGGGTTGGTGGCGGCTGTCTTTTCCCTCTTTCTGTCACTCCGTCTTACAAGTAAATAAGTCATTTTAAAAAGCGTGATAAAATTCATTGTGAAATCACCTGAACTGATGGATGATTTAATGTCATGATTGATTATTGATGAATGCGGGTTTTCTGTTTCTTCCTAACACCGCACTCAGTGACGTGATGACGCGAGGTTGCTTTCTGCAATCTTGTGAAGTTCAGGATCCACTACAGAGACTTTCAAGGTCCATGAGTAGGTGAACATGCACATATTCAGCTTGGACCTGAGACATGCTGCTACTGCGGGAATCAGGAGCGAAGAGACCTGGGTACCAGTGTGCACCAACACCACCTCACAGGCCCTGCAGCCTTGCTGTGGTGTTGTGTTCTCTTTCTGGCCACATTTTCTCGGTCTGGAAGGGATCTGAATTTCCCAGATTTCCAGTCTTTAGTACTGCCCTTCAGGTTCTCTGGGGTAGATTGAAATCTCCATGGGAAGGCTGCAGAAAGCACCGTCACATCATCTCATCTGGGAGTGGT